TATGTGTAGCATAGAAATCAATTCGATGGTAACGTTTGGAGTCATATCAATCTAAAGAGCGATTCCGAACTATGCATAATTCCAAAATGGAAATCAAGGCGTATGCAATGCAAAACAGAACGATAGAAGAAAAACTTGCGGAAATTAAAAATTAAAGCCAATAAACCTGTTAAATCATCGTAAATATCTTAACTTACATCTCTCACTATTTTCCTTTTGTCATATACACCAGCACGGCAATTACTGTTGACAGTTTCGACATTCGCCCGCACCACTGCTTTAAGAGAATGATAAATTGCTTGATTGCATACTTTTCGGCATTCACAAAATTACGCATTCAATTTGCCGGCATCTGACCAGCAGCAGGATAACAGTGCTGACCATTGCGTTTACCGCAAGAGTCATTGCATCGTATTGTCCCCCAATTTAACTGACTTTTATATATGGTTATTGCATATGTATGCATTTGCTGCAATGCTTTTTTTTTTTTTCTTTTGCAAGATGTTTTAAATTGTGAATTCAATTGGCCGATTGGTTATAAAAGCTAAGTTGTGAAATTTATTGCTGCACATGACTCTCGACAGGGTAGGCTATCATTAACAATGTCACACCACTCTGTCTGCCTTTCTATCGCTGATGATAGTTTTACTTGTATGGGTTGATGGAAGCCATAGCAATCTCATGATTTCATTTTGTCCAATTTAATTTATTGAGATCCTTCTTTTACATCGCAATGATATTGACTTCTTCTGATGAAGCTCTAAGAATGAAAAAGCATATATGCGTGATAAAAGAGTGCAACGCTGGCGTTAGTTCCTTACTAAGTTATGAGAAGAACGCGTTCAATTAATTTCATTTTGTCATGAAAGTATTTCAGTTATATGAATAAGAGGATTAGCGTTTCGCCTTCGCAATTACTAACATCCTTAAGAGGTAACAGAGAAACAAATGCTTTCAATTGCAATTTATTTATTTTGTGTCTACAAAGTTTATAAAACCTGAAAAAAAGCTACACATTTCAAGTATTTTGCAAAGTGCGAATACTTACGCAATTAAATTATAATTCAGTAATTCACCTCACAAACCGCTCATAAAAAAAAGAAACGCTCCATGAATACAAAAACGCTTTTAAAGAGACTAACGTCACTGCTAAGAGCTCTAAAATTGACGAAGAGAAGTTCCAACAACAACCGCAGTATAGAACGAATGACCTTTCAACATCTCCGATCATTATTAAAGCAATGATAACCTGGAGGCACTTATTAGATCCTCTAAATTAAAATCGTCTACAAAGGAAGTGAGATGCTTGAGACTAAGTGAAATAAATTTAAAACAACCTTTAAAAGAAAATTTTGGCAAAATTGGGGAAAGTTGGAATATAAGAGAATACACGATTTCTGAGGCGTGTATTACCTGCACACAGTGGATGATTTTATGACTACTTGATTTTGCTTTAGCAAGGCATTTAGATTGTCGAGTTTTCTCAAAATTAGCCGAGCTCCAAAATTTGGTCTGATACAAATCACTTACAACAGCGGTGCTACAGCGTTTACACCGAACAATGCTGGTGTAGCGAAGTTCATCGAAATATCCCAAAAAATGCGACGTGTAGTTTAAGCACCAGAAATAAAGGCGGGCATACATGCTTAGATCGATTCAGAAAGTAATTTTGAATCGATCGGTGTAATAAAAAATGGGTCTATCTCAAGTCATTCCGGGTGTTGCATACAACAAACTTACCTTATACCATAATTGGCATAGAATATAATAATTCCTACTTATTAGATTCTTACAATGTAACTTACATTGATACAGAAGCGTATGAATCTTATTATGAAAGCATTTTATATAAAAAGATTTAAATATCGATATTCTGTTATTGACTTTAAATCAGGAGATAACTTATTTTATTTTTTTAGAGAAATACTTAAAGAATATCAAAAATAAATCTACAATTAGCCCCTTGTCCACATTTTTCAGTCTATTTAATGTTGAAAAATGATAGGAACTACTTTCCATTCCAGCTTTTCCTTTCTATACAAAAAGAAGAATACTCATCTTTCTCATTTATAAAGCGTAATGGACGTAATGGGGCATCATAGTTACTTTAGCTATTGTTGAATCGACATATTTTTCATATGCACGTTTAATGGCTCTTTAATGTGCAAGCAACAAAATGGCTTTACGTATACAGCCTAAAATATGCATTGTTACCGCTAATGGAGTATCATCCTAAAAGTATGCTTTAATTTTTAATTATTTGCTTTAAAAACTACAAGGCAAACAAGTGATAGAATATTTCATGTAAGCATTTTGAAATGGAAAGCATTGCCATTTACGCGACTATGCGGGAAAGATTCAATTAAAATTTGTCAACATTTGCAATAAAAATAATATTTTAATTAGAAATAAATAAAGGGAAATATCCTTGAACTCCCCGAACTTAATGAGATTTCATTCTTTGACATAAATATTTATACAAATAAATAAACAAAATATGACACAAAAGGCAAAGGCAAAGAAAAACTTGGCATAATTAAAAGTTGACATTAAGTACATAAATAGACTCAGTCGCATACACATACATATGTGCGCGCAAAGAACGGCTATGTAAACATATAAAACATTTTATACAGTGTAAGGGAAATCGTGAACATCAGTCGAGCGCGACAAGTTGCGAAGAAATTTATTTAAACGTTGGTTTTTGAGTAAATATTCAACAATGTGTGCGCAAGCCATACGCTTTCACAAATGCACACAACATATCTTCAACATGTCCTTACATAAATGATTTTAAATGAAAGCGTCGCATTTGCATTATGCGTTGAGCGGGTAAAAAGCGCTTAAATACGTGTACATTTTTACTGCAAACGATCCCTGAATGAGTAAATGGATGGATGGGAAGCAATAAATAGTATACAGAATATATCGTACGTACATGTATTTTTGTGTCTTCTATAGGGTGTCCATGTGTTTGCGGCACATAAAGGATTTCCTGCTAACGCCGATAAGCTTTTATGACAATACCAAACGTATTTGGGTGCTTTTTGTAATTAAAAATTTAAAAAGACTCGTTTAGTATAATAAACAGTTTCTTGTTCACTCAAAAATATATATTAAATATCAAGAGAAGTATGTACAGCACTTTATGGCAGAAAAAAAAAGAAAAAGCGAATCATAAACATTTCGTTTCTATTCAACTCGTGTCTTAACGGCTTTCCTAAAGTGGGATAAGATTAAACATTTATTAGTGTGTTAAGCTAACCGCATGCTTACATCAATTTGGAATTTAAAAATTTTTACTCTTCTCCGATTAAATATTGACGTCACTTATTAGTTGTACTTACGAGGAAGATTAAGAGAAAGTTACCAGAGTTACAAATACAAAAAACATATGAGACAATGTTGTTCACTCGTGACTGAATCTGTCATACCCATCGCCGTTATCCGAAAAAAGTCAAAAAAAAGCAGACGAACTAAATTTTCATACTCTATAATATGAAGTTGTCTCGGCTGATTTTTGAAAACAAGATTTTTTATCGCCTAGGCATGTGGGCGTTTTATGCATGTCCTTGGAAAAGTTGAAGTCACGTTCAAATTTGTTTGCAAATTTATAGGCGACTTGTTCACTTTCGCTAACGGGGGAATGGTTGCCACCGTTACTACAGAGCTAGCCAGACGAGCAGATGGACAGTCCAACTGTTACTACAAAGTTACGCAACAGACACAGACAGACGGACAAACGAACAGACGGACACGTTTAGAGACATTCGAAATTTGAAACTTGCCAAGAATTCATATACTTTGAGGAAGTTTTAAAGCTTGTTTCTGAGCGTTATAAAGGTAACGTTCCTAGGTCAAGCATTGACAATAGTCTTACCCGTTCTCCGCAATAGTCATTCTAGAACTATTTACTAATTAATTCAACTAAGACGACATCAATGCCTTTTGGTAATATTGAACCTCATTTTCCTGGAGTAAATATTTTTATTGTGCGAATAGAATAACGAATTTTGAAGAACTTAAGTGCTTAGCCTTACATTTAAAAGGCGCATAGATCATATATACTGTAAAATTTCAAGAATTTTTCGTACGTACTTTATTAACATTTCCTTATCTCAACAGATTAAAAATAAATTGTGCTATGCTCTCCTTATGCCGTATCTTTTATACGGTCTACAAGTTGTGGCCGACACTTTGGCTTATAATTCTTTTAGGCTAAGTCGTGTTGCTAACAGTACTACTAGCGCTATGTTTACAGGGCTCGCGGACGGGCGCATATTTGTAAACACGTAAAGTGTGTCCTAGGATGTACTTCTTTTGTACCTCAAGTTGCTCGATATTGCAATTCCTTACCCATTGACCTTCATAGATTCTCTTATTCCAATCATACATTTCGTTTAAAACTTTTCCTACGTTGTAGGACACTACAACTTTTCTTTTTATATGCTAAAGATTAGCAGAATATTTGAACGGACATTCTGCTTGACTTTTCAACTCGATAACCGTTATTTAAAGAATTCCTCATTCATATTGTAAAAGATGATGAATGATGATGAGTAATTGTGTAGAGATAGATTGGCCGAACGAACGAACCAAAGATATAGGTGACTGTAAAACCAACGGCTGTAGAGACTTGTGGCAATAACAAAAAAAGCGATAAATAATGGCGGTGTATACTGCGATTATTGAGCCTTGCAACAAGTGCGCTTCGAATAAAGCCGGATTTCATCAAAAAACTTTCCCTTTCTACTTGTGCACTGAATCATTTGTTTCATATTCAATTTTACTGAACAAAGTAACCATTTTTTAAATGAAACAATTTTTTGAAATCTAATCGCAGTCATTTAGTTCAAGAATACGTTGATAGAACGTTGAAAAGTATAGGGGAGAATTTTATTTAATTTTTTCAATTTTGAAAACGAAGATTACTTAAGCAGGAGACTATGCCCAACATTGTGAGGAACTGCTTTTTATTCGCAATATTGCTTTTAAATTTCATGGGTAATCCGGTGCACTCCTGGGAATATTGTGTTGCTGCAGAAATATGCGCGGAGGAATACGGACACTCGCTTTGCAATCCTATAGAGCGCTTTGACATCTCGGTAGGTTACAAGCAGCATGGAAAAAAATTAAATATAGTTTAAAACAAAGAAATGCCGATGATAACCATTCTTTAGAAAGCCAAGTATTTTAGTAGCGAGTTAGCAGCGTTTGCTCCCGTCACGAAAAAGTTTAAAAGGATTGTAATAGACATCCATAATCATTATCGCAATTTGATAGCTGGCGGTGGCGAGCAAAATGTGAAAAATGGCGGAAAATTCCCGATAGCATCACGAATGCGCGCATTAATCTGGGATGACGAACTAGAGTACAATGCAAAATTACACCTACAAGCGGCGAAACGAATGGTTCATGATAATTGTCGTGCCACCAAACGGTATCCATTGGCCGGACAAAATTTGGTAAATTATATGGTACTTGTGAGGACGATTACTTACCTGAACGAATCTGTTTGTTTTTATCCTAGGGTGGTACGGCAGTGCAAGGTAGAGAGAAGGTATTTCAGACTATGCTGGAACATTTTCGGAAGATGTTTGACGAGAAGGACGACGTGGCAGATCCTGAAAAGCTTCCAGAAATGTTATTGAGCGAGCAGTATGTTGCAGTATAATAGTAAATGATTAACTCTTGTTTATTTCATCTTATTTTATAAAGTTTGGGAAAGTCTGGCCATTTTACGCAATTGGTAGGCGACCGAAATTCGCGTGTGGGTTGCGTCTTTGCTTTAGGTTTAAACTGCACTGCAAGGTAAGTAGTACTACAGTAAATGCAAAAGCCAGAGAAGAAAAGACAATTAATAGTACTTTACAGTCTAGCACCCGGAGCGGAAGTATATAAATTTTGCTATTATACCGCTTGTCATTATGATTTTTCAAATCTAACCAAGTGGCGGCTTTACAAAACGCATTTGACAACACCTGGTGCTGATTGCGGCGAATGGCACGTGGGTATGAACAAGGATCCTAGATATCCCAATCTCTGCGAACCAACTATCGAATTATTTGATTATACCGATTCAAAAGGCTGACTAAAATATAGACAAATACTTGTAGTTTGCAAATTACTAATTGAGATATTGAAGAATGGCGCTAATAATTTGCTCTATTAAAAATTAGAAAGCATATCCGTGTGCAAAAGTTCTAACTCACGTTTACTGAATGTACTTTGCTTTATATGATGTAAGATATTCACATAGAGAAAGTGCTTTATCATATCTTCTTGGCGTATTACGTCCATTCTGTCTTGATTAGTCGTTTTAATCCCATTAATTGTTATTGAAAATTCTCCCTGCGAATCTGTTATGTAATGTGCTGATAATGAACGATTCAGGGAAATAAAGAACATTGGCTTAGAAGAACAGGTGCATATTGCTGGTGTGTCTGGCCTCCTTAATAGATGCTTGCTCTTGAAATTGCCACGATGTGTCTATTTGGCATCTCACGTCATGGTTCAATCGCACCTTATATCAAAAGAAAAAACTAGACTGCAACAATAACATCTCCCAAAATGGCATTTCCTTACAATGTAAGTCAACATACTCCCAAGTTCCAAGCAGAAAGTGATGCTGAATAGATTGTTGTAGTAAAAAAAAAGGTGGGGTCCATCTCAAGTCGTTCTAGGTATTGCATACATTCTCACACGCTCAATGTAACCAAGCGGCTTAGAGTAAAAATAACCAAAAAAAAAAAAACAGTGCATCGAAAATTTCTCGGGCATCTACAGCGTAAAATGATTAAGTATGGGAAATACCAGTGCACATAACGGTAAAATTCGATGAATTTGACCTTTCTCTACATAAAATAATTGTTTTCCGCTTCATATTATTGATTTATCTAACGTACGCCGACGCTAATCACGGAGCACTCGCTCTGTATCTCTCTGTATATCCCAGAGCACAACAGGATCGTCGTGGTTCCTCTTCTGCAGTGTGTATTTTCTTAAGACATTGTCCGCGTGATTTCATTGCTGCTGGAAACGATGGTAGAATGGGCCGTTCTTGAATGAATAGTCAAGTACCGAGGTGTCTCTGTTTACATCACGTACACTCTTTGAGGTAGTAGTGTAATCAGACCTGGCTACATCACAGGTTGTCAGCGGTTGTCTAGAGAGGGCATCAACCGCCATGTTTAATTTCCACTTTCTACAATGGATGTGAAAGTTGAATTGTTTCATCTATGTGAGCACGGCTTCTAGCCGTAAATCTTTGAGAAAACCTCAATTAATAATTTCAAGTTTAGAAATTCTTAGCACAATTCCTTAGTAATTCCTTTGTTTTTTTAGTAAACTGGTTAGTAGTTCAGCGATCTCCGCGAAATTTGGTAATCGTAAACCGTACCACAACATGACTCCTACAAATTGTCAGATTATTCTTGCATTAGGCGATATTTTTTATATTGAAATAGCTTCGCACCTTGCCTGTGTCTGCCTTATATGTTCCGATTCATCTCATTTCTCTTTTCCCGAATTCATATTTTTGATCTTTACATTTGTTTCCCCCAGCGATTCAAATTAGGTTTTTGAATTATGTACCTTTTCCCCGATGACACCAATGTCGTCTAAGGAGACGAACACATGTGATTTCTTATCTGATACTATTACCATTACCATTTCCAAGTTGATACTGCTAACATACTTGGCATTCTGTAATTGATCTAAAACGTGAGGGATTCGTTGTAGTCGATACGTGTCGAGCTCGAATCATTTGCTTAACTGACGGCAATCCATACAGAGGATCAATATCGAATTTCGTTTATTTACATGGGTAATGGAGAAGCAATAGGGGCACTTCAATGGTTCCATGCACCCTTTGGCCAGCAGTTTGTCAAACTCTGCATATATTATTTGCTTGAATAGCTGCGTTTCATGGTTGATGCCTTGTCCTTATAAAGTTTTGGTGTTCGGGAATTGTACTTACATCATGAATGTAAGTAGTTCCGCTTCAGGAAATATTTGTTATGAATTCTTGGCCATTATTCTTAAATGTTCTTAATTACCTTCAAATTATTATTTGTTTTAGATTTTTAATAAGTTATTATCTGGCATTATTAGATAATCCTTCATGGTGCCTGTTTCATTAGTGTCACGGTTATCCATAGTGTGTGTTTGTATGCCTAATTTATCGGGTGCACGACCCTGGGATATAGTGGGTACGGCCGCCGAACAATTTTCTAAGGAGTGACCCGATGCCTCAAATGTTGTGAATAAAGCGAAAATATTTACCACAGAATCAAAGGCTTTTGAAAAGGTAAGGACCAGGATGACGTTATCTGATGTGGTGGAATTATTTCGCCGTGTGCCTATTATGGGATTCGCGTATGTTGACAAAAGACCCATCGGCTAGTATCACTTTTACATTAACTGATAAATTTTCATATTGTGATCTGAATTACTTTCTGAATCGATCGTGGTAGCTCCTGTGTCGGTAGTAGCCATAATTACCGCGCCGTCAATTGCAGGATCAAATTATTTGGACGCCTTTTCTGTAGAGCAGAAGGAAATATTAAACCTCCCGAAGAGCAACATTCGCGCTCGTTTAAATACATATTTGATTAGATCTCTTCTTGTTATTACCCGTAATAGTTTAGCTTTGAATGACAATTAAGTTTTTTAATTCTAACTCACGTGTTCCAAATTTAGCAATTGTGCGACATAAATATGATGAAGGTTTAGTTGTCAATGCGAACTCTTACAGAGCTTGGACAATTTGGACAAATTGATTTAGTTGTGACATGTTAAGCTTGCCCAACGACTTACTTTAGGCGGATGCAAACCAGAAGTCTAAAAGAAAAAGAAGAAAATAATTGCAATCGGACAAGGCTAATGATTAAATACCCTGTGCGACGTCGCCTAATAAAACTTCTCTTTTATTTTCTTAAACAAACATAAGCTATTGGATTTTGTTTCCAAGCTCACCTGGTCCTATTTTCGCACAATTCATTTTTTAAATCAAATTGTTAAAATTGACAAGTTTTCGTCATCAAATGTTACAAACTACACTTTATTGGTCATATAAAAGCTTACATCTCCTAGGAACGTGTATGGGAAGGTTTTCTCATCTATTTAGTTTGCCCAAACATTATTGCTCAGCGAATTCAAGAATACCTTGGCAAATGTGGGGCACGCAAACGGACGGACAAATTTAAATTGAGTTAGAAAACATACATATATACATACATACTAAACATATCCGTGCGAACTCAATATTCTCGATACCGTAAATGATCTTGCTTTAACTGCCATGACGAAATCTTCATCCCCTATCCCTCATACATCCAATCGGGCTGAAATCTTTCGATGACAACGGAACACGATCTAGTTACCATTTCTATATATTGACAATATTGACAATCGCTTCGTCGTTAATTTTTTCAGTTACTGATACGGATGTTATCGCCATTCAAAAATGGTGAAGGCCAAGAATACTCATTTAGCGTGAACTTAATATGCGTAGATTTTCAGCGTTTATTTTAAATCTCCATTCGTTCAGCCAAGGAGAAATTTTGTTAGAATAAATCTATAGTTTCTAGGGAACTTTGACAGAGGCACTAGATTACAATATATGATGATATTTGATGTGTGAAATTTCTTAATGAAGAAAACAAATGTATACAATTTTTTGTAAGGTATTGAGTGGCAAAGATTCTCTCTAAGGCTACCATAACTTTCTTGATTCATTTTTCAACTGAACTACAAGTCCTAATAAAGTGTATTAAGGGGGATAGCATTAGAAGGAATCTTAGACCGATTCCCGGTCTTGTATATGTACATATTTTTCTGTTTCTGCTATGAGCTAGAAAATTAACAGCCAATGACTCACTAAGTTGAGTAAAAAGTTTTGCTTTGGCGTAATAGATTAATGTACACATTTTTCTAAACCGATTTTCGAACAGAGTTTCTCGCAAAAGTTTGTTGCAAAATTTCAAATCCGGTTTATAAATAAATTTTTAATATTAACATTATTTATCAAAAAGGGAATCGCAATTTTAAATATTAGAGAACCAAGAAATTTGTAAATAACTTCAGCTACATGGACCAAGTAATTGTCGCAACTTCAGCGCTTCTGTTCGTTTGTTCAACTATTGCAATTCTGCAGCACTTGCAACCTATAGAAAGAATAAACTTTGTATGTTAATTTTATGAAAAATCACTTTAAAAAAAAAAGACGGCTCATCAGTAGGCAGTGGTTTCTTCGAAAATTGTCATTTCGAAAATTTTGAGACGCAAATTCATTTATTCAAAGGCTTTGTTTGTTGGGAAAAACAATAAAAATTCTAAGATAATAAATTTTTCAGGTAGTGTCAAAATTTTACGTACATTTTTATTTATGTTAAAAAAATGGAAATATTTGGAAAATTCTCTGCTACATTGCAAGTATGTTCTCATTTTTCACATATCAATCAATATTTTCGCCGCTTACACAAGCTTTTCTTTTTTCGTTCTTTTTCGTTTTTTGTCCTTTCAGTTGATTTCGCAGATTACTAGGAGACTAACGTACAGCTTCTGCTCCAGACCAGCTGTGTCATTGGAACGGACACATAAGTGCCGCAGTAGATTTGAAGAGCTCAGTTCTCAAGATTTGTGCACGGAAAATAAATTGAAAAATGACAAGCAAACAGTTTTCGTGAATCCATTGGCGGACTCGCGATTAAAATTGTCGAATTTGACTGCTGATTTGCCTACGATTGCTGTAGTTGATATAACTTCTCTGGGCGCCCCTGATCAAATAAATCGGTTCTTGATAACCGTGAATGATCGAAAAAGTAACGGCCTCATAAAGAATGAGACAAAGACGAACACAACACTCGACAACAATACGGGCCTGATACCGTGGAACGAAACAAATATTAATGCTATTGCGCAATTTACGGAGCCCAATAAAGATATTAAATGCCTCTCGACGGAAATCCATCAGTTACTTAAATTAGTCGACCTTGTCCAGCCTGCAACTGAAATCAAAAAAAATATAGAGTTCCCTAAGAAAACCCAAAATGCTTTAATGCTTTACGTAAAACCGCAGATATGCTCACC